GGAGGAGGGTGCAGCCCCGTGGGAGGGTCCACTCTGCTCGGCACCACCTGCCCTGACACTAGGCAAGAGCAGGGGCTGCTGGCCGGGGGCGGGCTAAGGCTGGGGACAGGATGGAGGACGTGCCCCGGGGGAAAGCCTGGGAGTAGGAGATGGGGCCGTGCAGAGCCGGGTACCCCACAGCCTCCTGCCATGGCGGCCACAGCGGTCAGGAGCAGCCAGACGGCAGGAACATGGTGCCTGTGTGGGACCAGGCACACAGATCACTGCTGGCACCCCTGGTCTAAGCAGGTCCAGGGCGCCGGGCCAGGCAGCCCGCTGGGAGCCCCCATGGAGAACCCCCCTTTTCCTGGCTTCAGTTAGGGTTTAGGGCACGTGAGGCCTGGGGCACCAAGTCCTGAGAGCAGCAAGGTCCGGGAGGTGCAGTGGGGCCACCTCATGGCCCTGAGACCCCCAACAATCAGCATTGCCTTGGGGGCAGCCACCACCCAGTGCTTCCCGCGGGCAGTCCCACCCGGCACCCCTGCAGCTGCGACCCTGTACCCAGCAGGAGCAGGGGAGCAGACAGTCCCCAGCCGCCCGAGGGGCCGAGGCTGTGGGTCTGCTGGCCGGAGTTGCCCCGCTATAGTCCCCGGCTCAGCAGAAGGCTCCAGAACACCCCACACCCTCTCAGGGGCTCTGGAGGGCCTCCATGAGGGTCTGGGAGAGGCGGGCCAAACCCCAGCAGCTTACCCCGCCAGTCCTCTGCCCGGGGCCCTGCTCCTGTCCACCCACCCCCTGGAAGTGCCGCTGCCCAGGGGGTGGAGCAGTGAGCCACATGTCTGCCCTTACTGGGCCCCTAGGCTGCACGCAGGCTCTGCCCATTCTCAGAATAGCCAGCGTCCGTGTTGGCGGGTTGGTGGCTGGGCCTGGGCACCGCTCTTCCTTCTCGCCTGCCGGCTCTGTGGGCTCCTGGGTGGAGTTCCCAGGCACCTGCCGAGAGCCAGGGCACCCAGCGAGGGACCCAGGCAGGGAGGGAGTTGGAACCCGGCCCCATGTGAGTGTGAGGCTGTTGGGCCGGGCGGGCTGTGGGCCGGTGCCTGGCCGCCCTCCCCCTGGGGCTGGCTGCCTGGCCCTGTGTTTGGAGCTTCCTGGCACAGACCATCTGTGCCGGAGCTGCATGCCAGGAAGGCCTGGAAGGCCTGCCCAGCCTTCTACGGCCGGCAGAGCTGGAGCCCCCGGGCTTTACCTGCCCAGCTAGTGACTGGATGGCTCCTGGCCGGGCAGACGCTGTCTGGTGTGTGGGGTGGGTGGGGTTCAAGCCCCTCTGACGGCACATAGCGGCCTCCTCCTCAGGTCCGCGGGCAGGACCCCAGGCACAGGCAGGCAGTGGCCTGGGCCCCACATGCGGCCTGCGTCTGCCTGGGGCCTCATGGGGACGGGCATAGCCACCAGCCGGGGACTGACCCACCTGCCTCTGAATGCTGAGACCCAGGCCCCTGGGGACCCAGAGCTCCCGGGCCTCTGACCCTTGGGGGACCCTGGACAGCCTCGGTGGGCCTCGGTTTCCGTGTGTTTCTGGGCGGGTCTGGCCCGAGCGCTCTGAGGGGCTCCGCGGGAGGACTCGGGGGAATGGTCCTCCTGCCCGCCCAGCCTGGGTACCTTGCCTTGTCAGTCTGAGGGCTGCTCAGAACAGGACAGAGGGTGCGGGGCCCAGGGCCTGACCCCAGCAGTGCCCAGGGGCTGTCTGAGGCCTGGCCTCCCCCATGCCCTGTGAGTCACACCTGCTTCAGACTGGCCTGGGCCTGGGCAGCAGGTCCGCTGCGCCCTGACCCCCCGAGCCCCCTGCCGGGTCCAGCCGCAGCAGCGAATGGGTGGGGGGGCAGGGAAGCCGATGTAGGAGCAGACCCCCTTGGCCCATGCTCGCCGTGGCAGACCGGCCCTTTGCAGGCTGCTCCGTGCCCTGTGTGGGCCCTGGCCCAGCTCCCTGATCGGTGCCCCCTGCCCCCCCCAGCTGCCCCTGACCCCCCAGTGTGGCCTCCCTTGCATTGAGTCACCAGCTCCACCGCGGGGCCTCGAGCTGCAGCTGGCTCTGTGATCTGTAGCCACACTTTGTGGCCCAGGGTCCTGTCTTTCACGGGTGATGTGAGCAATAGGTATGGGCCACGTCAGGGACTCAGAACGAGGCCGGCCCCCATGCTTGCACTGCAGGAGCAGACGGGCACCGGGTCCCGAGGCAGCCTGGGCCGTCCCCACTCTGCCCTCCACCCAAAACGAATGTGAAGCCGGCCTGTAAGGGAGGTGCCTGCCTGGTACCCTCCGGACTCTGGTGGCAGATGGTTCCTGCCACTGCCCTTCCCCAGGTGAGAGGCCGAGGCTCATGCAGGGCAGGCCCTCCAACTGGCAGGCCTGGCCGACTGTGGCCAGCTGGCTTGCTTCCTCCCAGGAGCTTGCCAAGCGAAGAGCCGCCGTCCACCCCGGCCCAGCCTGTGCGGTGAGCCCTGGGGCCGCAGGTCCAGCGCCAGGCCCCATCCCTGAAGGAACCTCGGGTAAATGGACAGCTTGTAATTCACTCTGTGGTGGGGCCAGAGGATGCGGCCACAGCTCATGAAAAATTAAAGGAGAAAAAGGCTTCACGAACTTCCCTGCCTACAGGCGAGGTGCCGCAGGCCCTCAGCTCCTGCTCCCTGCCACCCCAACTCCCCTCCCGTGTGGAAGCACCTCCCTCTCAGCACTGCAGGGGACTGTCCAGGCCAGGGAGGAGGCCCAGCTGAGGAGAGCCTTGGGCTTCCATTTCTGGGGCCTGGGAAGGGGCTTCTGCTTGGAAGTGGGGCAAGGCTAAAGGCTCAGGTTGGGGTCTCTGGGGAGGAGCTGGGTGGGTGGGGGGTTCCCTGGGTTTTTGCAACAGAGAAAGCAGAGAGGAGCCGGCAGACCTGAAGGCTGGGGGATGGCAGGAAGCGGGGGGCTGTCAGAGGGCTGTGGGGCCCGGCCAGGCCAGGAGAGGGGAGACCAGGTGGGCCAGGGCAGGCCCAGAGGTGGGAGGTCAGAGGTGAGCCTGCCTGGGAGACAGATGGGCAGATGGGCAAGAAGGAGTGTTTCACCTGGTGAAGTCCAGTGCCAGCAGGATGGGGGCTGATGTGGGGGGACCCCTGGGAGGGCCTGGAGTCAGCAGGGTAAGGAGGCTCAGCTGTAGGAAGGGTGGCCCAGCCCTCTGGCCACCGAGGGGGAAGTGGGAAACGTCGGAATTGCAATGGGTCTGGGGTCTGATTTGGATTGAGAAGAGGAGAGTGGCCACCCCCTTGGGTCAGAGAGGAGGCCTGGGGGGCACCCCCTGGGGAGCTGGGGGGCAGGAATGAGCTGGGACTCTGAGCAGAGCTGGGGTTTGGGGGTCACCTCACACAGGCGGGGCCAGGCCAGCAGAGCCCCACATGTAGGTTGGGGATTGGGGGAGCTGGGAAAATGGGGGAGGCAGGATTCAGGCTGGGTAGGGAGGGCCGTGTGGGTGGTGCTGGGGGCCAAGGAGGAAGGAGCCTTCGGCCATCAGCCACAGGGGCCAGGTGGGGCCTTGCCAGGTAGGAGCCTGTGGGGGTCACACCTCAGGGGAGAGACACAGACTGGGGTTCGAGAGCCCTCCACCCAGGCTTTGCTGTGATGGAGTCTGTGTGACCCCTTGGGCTTAACTGAGGGGCATCTGCCCCCAAAACCCCACCAGACTGAGCCCAGGCCTGGCCCAGCTTATCTAGCCAACTTCTCAAATAGATCCCAGGAGCACCCCTGCTGGTACCAAGAGAGGTGCAGTGGGGGTGCTGGGGTGCAGGGGGGTGCTCTGGGTGCAGGGGAGTGCTCAGGTAGAGTGGGGGATGCTGGGGTGCAGTGGGTGTGGCCCCTGCTGGCCTGTGGGAGTCCTGTGCTGCCCTGGTCCTGGGTGTGGTGGGTGACCCCCCTGCATGGGGACAGAGTGGGGCAGGGCGCTGCACCCCCACCTCCTCTGGGGCCTTCTTGAGCCCGGTGACCAGGGAGGCCACTGTGGCCCGGCTGAGGCACTGGCCTGGGCAGGGGGAGAAGGTGCTGGGCTTTGCCCAGGCCCCCTGCTGCGGGCCCCTGTCTCCAGGGCAGGCCCAGACCACTGCCCTCATGGACAGCTCCGCATCGCGACTGCGGCCCCAGGCGCTGGGCAAGGATGGGCGTTTCAGACCCTTCAAAACTCCCACGGCCCTGCCTCCGCACTGGGGGAGTGGGGCCTGCCCAGAGGGAGACGCCACGCCCTCCCCTCGTGCAGAGCCCCTGCCCTGGCATCAGCATCAGGGAGGTGGGGTGGGGAAGGCCAGGATGGCCGAGGGAACGCTGGCTTGCCCTGCCTGCTGTCAGCCGGAGCTTTCCTTCTGGTGGGATGCTGAGCCTGGTGGAACCAGGCACCCAGGCGTCGGAGCCAGCGGCCCATTGCCTGGGGCCCACATTACTGTGGGCGACCAGATGGCCCCCACATTTGATGCCCGGCAGCTCCGGCTGGGTCTGCTGTGTCTACTGTTCCAGGTCACTGGGAGCCTGGGCAGGGGCTTGGGACATCTGGAGTTGGCCTGGGGTGCAGGGGCCCTGCTGCTGGCCTGTGGGAGGGTGCAGGGGAGGCTACTTCCTGCCGGCCCCTCTGTTCCAACCTGCAGTGAGCCACAGGCGCAGCCACCAGGGCCACCAGACAAAGCAGCTGACCCTCGGCTTCTGGAATGTTCTGTGTATCCGATAAGGCATGTTCTGAGCTGTATGCCGAGGGCCACGCAGGGCACGTTTGATCCTGGCGGCTGCCTGTGACAGCCTAAGGCTGTGAGGGGCCTCCCGTGCAGGGCCTGGAGGGCTGGTGGGCTGGTCTGCAGGCACGCGTGCAGGTAGGTACAGTGCACTCTCCACCCGAGGTGGAAGTGCTGACCCCGTGGCTGCCATCTGTCAATCTGGCTCCTGCAGGGTGGGGCTTCTTCCCTGCGGCCCCCACCGGCCCAGGGCCCCCATGCTACTCTCCATCCCCACCCTAGGGTCCAGGTGGAGTTCTATGTCAACGAGAACACGTTCAAGGAGCGACTCAAGCTGTTCTTCATCAAAAACCAGAGATCCAGTGAGTGAGGGCCAGAGGGGTGTCTTGTCTGTGGTGGGCACAGGGGCAGGCTCAGCTTCATGCCACCTTCCCAGTGGGAGATGGGACCTGTTCCCTGTGGCCCCTGCCCTGCAGCCGGGTCCCTCCTACCTGCCTTCCCAGTAGGAGCCTGGCCACCTCAGACCCCCCTGGATGCATGCCCCTGGGCCTGGGCCTGCATCCATTGGTGCACTACCCCAGCCCCTGCCTGCCCTGCTCAAGGAGTGGGTGGTGCAGGGAACACCCTGCCCTGTGCCCCTCAGAGGAGGGCCCAGTGCCAGGGCAACTGTGGGTGGGCACCCGAGGCGCACAGGGAGGACCAAATGGCGGGAGACGGTACGGGCCCCAGGCGGCCAGGAGCCCTGACATCATGCCCCCCGCAGGCCTGCGAATCAGACTGTTCAACTTTTCCTTGAAGCTGCTGACCTGTCTGCTGTACATTGTCCGAGTCCTGCTGGACGACCCGGCCCTGGGGATTGGATGGTGGGTGCCCCGCGAGGTCCGGGGTGTGGTGGGGCTTCTCGCCTGGTGCCTGGTGTGCCTGCAGGGCCCATTGGGCCACTGTGGGGTCTGCCCCAGCATCCCGGCCGGGAGCCGTGCGGAGCCCTCCCTGCACCCAACCCAGTGTCTGGCCCATGGAGCCGCACGCCGGCTACCACTGGCCAACGGACTCAGTGCAGGGGGGTGGGGGTTGCCCCTGTCTGTGGACTGTGGCTGCCTCTGTGGCCACCCCAGGCCTGAAATGTGACACCCAGCGGTGTGCGGGGTCCTGGAGCACCAGGAGCGAGCAGGTGGGCTTCTGTGCCCCCCACTCGGGCTCCTGCCGGTGCCCTAGACCCGCGGTGTCTCTTCCCAGTGACTTCACTTCCTCAGGTCCTCAGGTGACTTCCCAGGCCCCTGCTGAAGGACTCTCCTGCCCCCCGTGCTACTGTGGCGTCACAGCTGTGTCCACTCGCAGTCCTTGTGGGGAGCAGCTTTCTTCCCTGGACGCCGACAGGTCCCTGCCTGGGCCTGGCGAGTCTCCGTGTGGCCCTGTTGTGGTGGCTTGTTGTCTCCGTGGGCCATGGCCCAGCACTGGGCTCCCTGAATTGCCTTTGAGGGCTGGTCTCCCCTCCCAGGCTTTCGGTGGGCGGGTGCTGGCCTCTGGGTCAACCCTGCACACCCCTGCCCTCTCTCCTGCTCACCCCCTGTGCTCTTTCTGGGGCATTTCCTCGGCCTTATCTCCAGCTCCTCGGATGACTTGGCCATTTCTGCTGTCATTTTCTAATTTCTGAGAACTTTCATCTTCAAGTGTCTGTCCTGCCTCGGGCGTCACTGCCCCCAGCACTGGAGGGTGTCTTATCTTTCCTTCCTTACACTTTCCCCTCCTGCCCAGCCAGCTTCTCCCGAGCTCACCTTGAGTGGATTTCCTTAAACGCCTGGCTGCCTGGGCACCAGGAACAGTAAGGGTGGGTCCTGCAATGCCCGGGGCCCTGCGGCCAGGCTGTGGCCTGGCATTGCTGTCACCTGGGAGAGCCCGGTCGCTCTCTCCCCAGAGCAGTTCTCCCACCTCTTCCCTGGAGGCTAAGGCCTGGCTGCTGGGCCCTGGCACCGAGCCTCGGGGGGGCTGGGACTGAAGGCCGGCAGTGCAGGCTTGATTCCCACAGGCGCAGGGAACCGGTGACCCCGGGCCAGACTCTCTCTCCCTCCTGAGAAGAAGCCTCCCAGCTTTATCCTGGGTGGGGAGAGCAGACCTTGCCTTTGTAGTTTGAGAAGAAAAACAGGGGCACTAACTGACTTTCAAGCCAGTTTGTTGGGTTCCGTCCACCTTGTCCCACTCCCAGAGGCTCCTGGGACATCTGGTGGCACGTCCTTCACGGTCCGGGACTGTTATATTCGGCACAGCATTTGGCTCAGGGATGGGTGGCTGGGAAGGTACCTGGATCGGGGAGAAGGGTGATGGATAGATGGGTGGTGGATGGGTTACGGAGGGGGGAAGGATGGATGAATGGTAAACAGTGGCTAGTGGGTGGACAGAGGGATGGTGGACGGAAGGAAGGATGGCCGGCCACCTCACTGGGTTTAGGGTGAAGTGGGTCAGTAGGGAGAAAGGGGGGAGGGCTCTGTGAGAGTGGGTCCCCTTGGTCAGCGAACGTGGTGCTGGTTGCAGCCTGGGGCAGAACTAGCAGGTCCCCATGCCGTCCACCTTCCCAGTGGCTGGGTGTCCAGGTGGTGTGAGGGGGAGGCTTGTCCTCAGGCGTGACCTCAGGACAGCCCCGAGCGAGGGGGGAGAGCTTGGCTTCCTCTCTGTCTCACACGCACTGTCCAGCCTTGTCTGCAGCCGCTCTGGCCTCTGGGAGGCCCTGTGTGCTCCAGGGTCAGTCTGGCCACACACAGCCTTCCGCAGCCAGCAGACCGGGCAGAGCCCCGCTCTCCCCAGGCGCCATGTACAGCGTGAGGCCAGCTGGCTCTTGGCCCGAGTGTTAGGACAGATGCCTGTCCAAGATGTGGAGGGTGGCCTGGGTGGAGGGGCGGGCGCCCCTGTGCTCCCAGAGCCCAGGCCAGCCTGGGAAGGGTCCCTTCCCGGGCGTGCTGGCAGGGGCTGTGGCTAAGCCGGCTCTGTGTCTCCACAGCTGGGGCTGCCCAAAGCAGAATTTTACCTTCAATGAGTCCTCCTCCGAGATCAACTGGTGAGCCCCCTGCTCGGCTCGCTGACCTTTCACTGCCCAGACTCCCACTCCCAGGCCCAAGGCGGGGTGGGGTGGGTGAACCAAGGACCCTCAGTGTCTGAACCCCTGGGTCCCCTGAGGCATGTTCTCCTGGACCCCCAGGCCCTGGCCATGCGGTGGGCAGAGCTCCAGGAGCAATTTAAGAATGACCAGCCCCTGTCATGGGTGGGGAGGGGGACACAGGGAGCACCTACAGATGAGCTCTGCGCTGCACCTCCAATTCAGGGTGCTTCCAGCCAAGGAAAGTGGGTGCCCCAGTCAAGCAGTGGGAAGTGGTGCAGAGCGGCCGGGGTGCCTGGCTGGTGTAGGGTGGTCCCCAGGGGCCCGGCCACCTCCCCATCGAGGAGGGTGCTTCTCCCTTCCTGCCTCTTCCGGTTTGTCTCCAGTACCCAGAGCTCTGTTTGGACCAGACAATAAGCAGTCTGTGCCCCCCACCCCTGCACCCCTGGCCCAGCTGCAGAGCGGCTCCCACAGCTTCCAGAAGCCATGCCACCCAGTAACAGTGGGGGACCTGAGTGCCTCCTCTGCAGTGACATGCCCGGGGGCCCCGCTCCCAGGGGCCAGGGGCAAAGGGAGGCCACTGAGGCTCAGGCTGCACTTGCCCCCAGCGTGTCCAGGCAAACGGCCCTCGAGCCACCGCCCTGCCCCACAGTGAGCACCTCCCAGGTGGCAGGCGTGGCCAAGGCTGTCCTGCTTTCTCCACAGGGCACCCATCCTGTGGGTGGAGAGGAAGGTATCTCTGTGGGCCATTCAGGTGAGCGGTGGGCAGGCGTGGCTCTGGGTGGCCCTGCCCCCTCCGGCCAGTCCTGCTCAAAGGCTCCTGCCCCCAGGTCATCGTGGCCACAATAAGCTTCCTGGAGACCATGCTCCTCATTTACCTCAGCTACAAGGTGAGTGCGCCCCAGCTGACACCCCCCGCCCTTGGGCCCCTCCGCCCCCTGACCTGGTTGGCATGTCTGCCCCCGCCCCCTGCCCCTCCCCCTGGCTCCCCAGGGCAACATCTGGGAGCAGATCTTCCACGTTTCCTTTGTCCTGGAGATGATCAACACGCTGCCCTTCATCATCACGGTGGGTGAGCCGCTGGCCGAGGCACGGGGCGCCCCGGACCCCCAGCGCCCTGACCCAGCTCATCCGCAGATATTCTGGGCACCGCTGCGGAACCTGTTCATCCCTGTGTTCCTGAACTGCTGGCTGGCCAAGCACACCCTGGAGAACATGATTGTAAGCCTCGGGCTGGGCAGCCCCCGTGCAGAGTGACACCTTGCACGCCCCCCAGGGCCCTGGGGCGGCAGCTTGCCACAGCCCAGCCCTGGCCTGGCAGAGAGCTGGCAGCTTCCCTTGGTGCCCCAGGGGCCATGGTGACAGCAGACACACGTGATCCCTGTCACCATCAAGCGCCCTTCCGGCTCCTTCCTGACCGACTGCCGAACCTCGGCCAGGATGCAGGGGGTCCACCCCAGAGCCTTCCCTGACCCCGGGGTAGGGGTGAAGGTGCCAGGTGCGAGCAAAGCAGGGCCACAGAACCAGGCTCACAGAGCCCAGGGCCACGGGCGGGACCCTGCCGAGATGCTGAGCAAGGTCCACTACCAACGTGCCAGCAGCCGGGCCCCCAGGGAGGCTGCTCCTGGGAGCCCAGGCCCCCTGGCGCGCCCCACCAAATCGTAAAGTTTCCGCGCCGAGGTCAAGGCTGACGGCGGCACGTCCCACAGAACGACTTCCACCGTGCCATCCTGCGGACGCAGTCGGCCATGTTCAACCAGGTCCTCATCCTCTTCTGCACCCTGCTCTGCCTGGTCTTCACGGGGTAAGTGCCGCCGTCCGGGGGCCCCTCGCACACCCAGAGGCCTTGCCAGGTGGCGGGCAGCCCCACCTGGGGCAGAGCCAGGCCCTCATGTCCCAGCGGTCAGGAAGGCCTTGTGTGGGCAGCAGCTCAGAGCCCACATCTCTGGGCGGCCCTGGTCTGGCTACTCTGCCCTGCCTGGTCCTGGTGAGGCTGGCCACCACCTCCTGTCCCCCAGTCAAGGAGCAGGGTGGGCACCAAGGCCCAGGAGGGAGGGCAGGAGGGCCGTGTGCTGGCAGCCTCCTTGTCACCCCCCAACATGCAGGCCTCGTAGGAGCAGGGCGGGGCATGCACGGGGTAGAAAGCTCTGTGGTGACTGGGCAGCCACCCCCCTGGCAGCAGCCAGTTGGGGGGTACCCTGAGCACGGGACATCCTGCTCTCTGTGTGCTGAGGGGCCCCAGGCCCTGCCGTCAGCACTCCCAGCCTGGGGACGGGGACGTGGGGTCCTTGCCTCAGAGGCAGGACTGCCCCGTGCCCTTTGTGGCCTCCTGGGTGACGATGAGGAGCTTGCAGGGACTCAGCTGACCCCAGGCCCACCCTTAACCCTTGCAGCCCTGTGCCCACGCTCCTGGCAGTCCTTTCTGAGGCCTCAGAAGAGCCACAAGCTGGGCAGGGAGGATTCTGGGGAACTGGGCAGGCTGGGCTGGGCCACCTCTCAGGCCAGACCAGAAACACTAGGAGCCCCAGGGGCCAAGCCGGACTCAGGCCCAGGTGGCGGCAGGGGCCCCGTCAGGAACGCGCCCGGCACTGTGCCCTGGGTGACCTGGAAGCACGTCTCGGCCCCCCGGGGGCACGGTCCCCTGGGCAGGCAGGGCTCCAGCCGCCGCTCAGAGGGTGCAGCCCCGCCCGCAGCTCCCGCCTGCCGGCCTCCTAGGACCTGCGGCATCCAGCACCTGGAGCGAGCGGGCGAGAACTTGTCCCTCCTGACCTCCTTCTATTTCTGCATCGTCACCTTCTCCACCGTGGGGTACGGGGACGTGACACCCAAGATCTGGCCATCCCAGCTGCTGGTGGTCGTCATGATCTGCGTGGCACTCGTGGTACTCCCACTGCAGGTGGGCTCCCAGCCCAGCCCCCCGCGAGAGGAGGGTGCCGATGGAGACACCCACGCGGGGCAGCAGGGCCGACCGGGGACAGGGAGGGTGACAGTTGCCAGCGGCCCCCTGGGGGTCTGGTCACTAGTGAGGCCACAAGGGAGGATGGATGTCAGGCCTGTGGGCACCATGTGCTGGTCACTCCCAGACCTGGTCAGAGCACAGAGTGTGTGGTGGGAGGGGCCGCCAGGGTCCCCGCAGGCATCTGTGTTGGGGCAGGGGCTCAGGAGCCCTAAGCCAGTGCGGCAGCAGCCGTCAGGACCGGGGGGGACACACCCGCCAGCACCCCCAGCTGCCTCCCTGTCACCAAGGCCGAGGTGGGGACAGTGTGGGAACCCAGCCCATCCTGACCCTCATGTGTTCAGGTATGAAAGGTGGAGGCCTGGAGAGGAGCCAGCTGGGGAAAAAGGGGTGTGAGGGGAGCCAGACGGAGGTGGACACCCAGGACGTGGTGGGCTGGGGTAGGTGCAGCAGCAATGGGGCAGGTCCACCCAGGGAGCCACTGCTGGCCCTGAGCTCCGCCCCCCTGGCCCCAGCCCTCACCCCCACCCTACAGCTTGGAGCCCCCAGCTCCAGCTGGCACCCGCCTGTCCTGCTTCACTCTGGTGCAGAGCACAGCCCCTCCCACAAGGGCCTGCCATGCACTGGGGACCCCTAAACAGTAGCTCATGCCTGCCCTCTGCTCCCCCAGAACCTCCTGCCCCTCCATCTAAAGCCTGTCCTCCCCACATGCCCTCCCCACCACGCCACCTCTCCCATCAGCCCCCACCCGACCCCCCGCCACCACCGAATCCCAATGTCCAAACTGTATTATATATATATATATTTTTTAATTTATTTATTTTGTTGTCATTAATCTACCATTACATGAAGAATATTATGTTTACTAGGGTCCCCC